CAGGGTCTTTGTCGCCCTGCCCCTTTGTGCACCCGGACTACGGCATGGTAGGTTGGTTTGTTTATGGCCTTTCCTCCATAACACAAACTCCAAAGAAAAGCAGGGACTTTTGTCTGTTTTATTCACTGCTGTGTCCCAGCAGCTAGCACAGTGCCTGGCCCCTAGAAGGTGCCATTATGTATTTTGAGTGACTAAGAATGGTTGAAAGTCTCTCCAGTAAGACAGCAAGCTGCTGCTGCTTTTTCTTTTCTTTGTTTCTTTCTTTCTTTCTTTTCTTTTTTTCTTTTTCTTTTTTCTTTTTTTTTTTTTTTTTGCAAAAGACAGAGAACAAGCTGGGGGAGAGGCAGAGTCAGAGGGAGAAGCAGACTCCCCAATGTGCAGGGAGCCTGAAGTGCGGGGCTCGATCCCAGGACCCTGAGATCATGATCTGAGCCAAAGTCAAGAGTGAGACACTCAACCCCCTGAGCCATGAAAGCTCCCCATTCCCTTAGTATCTTAATCACATTTTTCACGGACCCCTGAGTCTAAAAGGAATATATAGCAATTTTGTTAATCAAGCAGTTAGAGTCAAATTACATAAGAAATGTCTGAAAAAAATAATGCACATGAATTAAAAGAAAAAAGTATTTTTATTTTTAATATTAAATATTTCCTGTGTCTGGATTTCTCCTCCGCCCCTCGCCCCTCCCCTCCTGTGTTCGTGAATCTGGCAGGCAGCAGGGGGCAGCACTGAGCCACAGAGCTCATCCCCTCCAGTCCTGGAGGCACTCGGCGAAGGCTCAGCACTGGGACCGTGGATCTGAGCGCCGGCCAGTCTTTCTCCTGTCTGTTTGGGCCAGACCGTGTGAGGTGGTTTCATTACACAAAATAAATTCACAGCCTACGAGGATGAATGGAGAGGAGAGCAAGGAGGCGCATTCAAAAGTACATTCTGTAAGATCATGGCCTGCCTCATAGCCTTGCAGAGGAACAGCTTCCCCTAAAAACCCAGGGTTGGGCTCTGCATGCTGCTTTATTTGGGTTGTTATCCTGAGATATTTCTGTGGTAGAAAAAGTGTGTTTCCTGGGGCGCCTGGGTGGTTCAGGGGTTAAAGCCTCTGCCTTTGGCTCGGGTCGTGATCCCAGGGTCCTGGGATCAAGCCCTGCGTCAGGCTCTCTGCTCAGCAGGGAGCCTGCTTCCTCCTCTCTCTGCCTGCCTCTCTGCCTACTTGTGATCTCTGTCTGTCAAATTAATTTAAAAAAAAAAAAATCTTTAAAAAATTTAAAAAAAAAAAGGACATAATGCTTTAAAAAAAAAAACCCTACTTCTTTGTAGGATCTAATTTCTGTTTATAAAAAAAAAAAAAAAGAAAAAGGGTGTTCCTGATGTGTGAAGACCCCCTCCCACATCTCTACTGGATGGTTCCCTGGAAAAGATTGGGGGAACTTGTTCTTGCCAGAGGCTTCTTTAACAGCTCTCTGAGGAGGAGCTGCTTAGAAAACGCCTCCAGGGGGAGCCTGGGCGGCTCAGCTCAGGTGGTGGTCTCACGGGCCAAGAGATCGAGCCCCGCGGCAGGCTCTGTGCTCAGTGGGGTCTGCTGGAGATTCCCTACCTCTGCCCCCCCACCTACTCCGCCAGAGATTTCAGCTGAGGGGAAAAAACACCCTTCATACAAAGATACGTGTGTTCTGTATCCTTCACTGGTGTTTGGAATTGGGCCCTGTCAGGTTTCTCCGCTGTTGGAGGAAAACTCCGTCTTGTTAAAATGGAAAGCCACAATCCAACGGCTTGGAAACCCTTGTCCTCTCCTAGAGGAACCATGGTGGGAGGCGTTCTCGGCGGAAGGCGAGGTCGCACTGGTGCATGGCGTCTCCGTGCTCTCTGCCCGAGCAGCCAGAATGGACAGTTGGCCTGTGTGGGCCCCGTGGGGCTCCTGCGGGCCCCTGAGCTCGAGGGACGTGCCTTCTTCCATGTCCCGACTTGTACAAGGGCAGGAGGCCCAGGACCTGGGGTCCCCAGCTGTTCCAGGGTGTCTGGCCTGTCCACACTCTCTACTGTCCCCAGGTCAGGGGATGGAGAAACAGGACAGTCTCCACATCCTCTTCAGCACATCAGCTGTTTCTTCCAAAGACACTAAAAGCTTAGTCCCTTGACCTGCTAAGGATTAGCTGTAATTTGCATTACTCAGTCTGTGGGCGATGCACCAGTGATGATTAGGTTGGTTGGGGGCTTTCTCTAATTAGCATGAAAAAAGGCATATTATTATGCGTGGTGGGGGTTGCTGGGGGTGGGGGCGGTCAGAGGGGCTGCTGGAATATCCACGGGGAGTCAGCAGGGTAGCTGCAGCACCCGTGGGAGGGAATTGCGTTCCTGTCCCCTGTGTCCCTTCCTCCGGGACTGCCGGAGCAGGTAGGTAAATTGCTGAACCGTCTTTAGAGAACCCGTGGTTGACCAGGGTCTCACCTCAGTCTGCAACCTGGACAGGAGGACATGGCTGCCTTCAGAGTTTTGCCCTGAAGCAGAAATCCTTGTAGGCTACGTTGGGTGGTGCTGGTCTTGCCTGGGACTCCTCCTGTCCATGCCCCCACCCCTGCCCCCAGGACTTCCTCAGCATCTTTTTCTGCTTCACTTTCCTCCCAAGGAATGGGGCCAAGAGTAGCTCTAGTCCCCAACCCTCCCCTGCTAAGGATAGCGCCCCTAATTCTAGCCCATATCTGCAAGATCCCCCATATTCTAGAATTTTCCAGTAATACTCCCAACTTCCTCTGTTAGGTTTTCTGAATCTAAGTTGTGACAAACCAGAGTCCGTGTACTCATAAAATGGATATGGCTTCTCTCAAGATTATTAGAAACAAGAATAACAGTAGTTGGGGGTCTCTGGCCAGCTCTGGGGACACGTACTTTGAGACTGGAGAGCTTCTAGATTGCTCCAGATCACAGAGTAGGATTTTCCTGAGAGTGGATTCGGCCCCATTTGCATGATATAAACCATCCTCTTGTCATTCCTTCCTTTATCAAACAATATTCCTTATAAGCTATCTTCAAGCCATGGCTCTGGGGTCTGGGTTTCTGTCTATAAATCCGGAAGACATAGCTTCCCTTGCCAAGTGTTTCTAAATAAGTTGAGTTCCTGTTTATAGTTTGTGTTTTCTCTCTACCTCCAAGTCAGCTCTGGAAGGCCAGGATTCTTTTTTTTTTTTTTTAAGATTTTATTTATTTCTCTGACAAAGAGATCACAAGTAGAGAGGTAGGCAGAGAGGGGGTGGGGGGGAAGCAGGCTCCCTGCTGAGCAGAGAGCCGGATGTGGGACCCTGAGATCGTGACCTGAGCCGAAGGCAGTGGCTTAACCAGGTGCCCCCGGAAGGCCAGGATTCTTAATCGTTTGGTTCAGTGCTGAATCTCCATTCCCGAGACTCATGCTTGGCACATAGAAGGAGCTCAGTAAGTATTGATTGACTATTTGAGTGGTTCCATTGATGACGTCACCGAGGGAAATCAGAATGAGTTCGTCTACACCTGTGAGCAGACCAGAAGTACCCTCCGCCAAGCTCAGACTCCCTTTGTTTGAATTCATCTCCAGCCTTGCTCCTCATGTGCCCTTAGGGACTTGCTAGCACCCCTCTTTTCGGCCATCTGCTTGGGTTGGATCAACCCATGTACTGCTTGTTTGTCCCTGCAGGCAACCAGCCTCTTGTAGGAAGGGCCACGCTTCACTCCTGTTTTTATTCCCAGGGTCTTGAGAACTGTCATTGCTCAAGGAATGTTCTACCAAACTGAAATTTAGTTAAATAGATACAGCCTGTGGGTGTTAGTTTGGGCTCAGTACTTTTCCCAGAATGAATAAAAGGGTTTGCGCAAAATCTCGGGTGTTATATCCATCAGGCCCTTAAGTTTGTGCCTAGGACCATCTTCTCAAGTCCCATGGAAAAGGTTGAGTCTTGAAACTATTAAAACAATAGATAGCAACTCCAAAATATAGGGGGGGCAGATCTGCAAAATTCAAATTAATAAAACATCTAATTAAATGTTCTCAAAGCATACCACTATGTCAGCTCCGTTTTTTTGCTAAATTTAATGCCCGTAAACATTTCATTACATTTGAAAATAATTTGTGCCTTTGACTTTTCTCCCTTCACAACAATTCCTGAATTTGTACAATGAGTGCTGAGAAAACTTAGCCAACTGTAAATTAAATGAATTACATAAAGCCAAATAAATGGTGAAAGCAAAATTATAAAAATCGTTTCAAAAATGTTTATGACAGGGTACGCCAGGGTGGCTCATTGGATTAAGCCTCTGCCTTTGGCTCAGGTCATGATCTCAGGGTACTGGGATGGAGCCCCGCATCGGGCTCTCTGCTCAGCAGGGAGGCTGCTTCCCCCTCTCTCTCTCTGCCTGCCTCTCTGCCTACTTGTGATCTCTGTCTGTCAAATAAATAAAGTCTTTTAAAAAAATGTTTATAGGGGCACCTGGGTGGCTCAGTGGGTTAAGCCTCTGCCTTCGGCTCAGGTCATGATCTCAGGGTCCTGGGATCAAGCCCCGCATCGGGCTCTCTGCTCAGCAGGGAGCCTGCTTCCTCCTCTCTCTTTCTCTCTCTCTACCTGCATTTCTGCCTACTTGTGATCTCTGTCTGTCAAAATAAATAAATAAAATCTTTAAAAAAATGTTTATGACAGAAACCATTGAATGACAGAGTGGGTATATTTTAATATGATTAATACGGTGTGGGATGGAGTACTGTAAAAGGAAGCTCACTCAGGGCCCACAGATATTTCAGAGCAACCTACCAAAAAACTGTAGAATTTCTGCATGACGATGTTTCTGTACGCACTTCCCCCCTAGGATTTTTTGACTAATTCCTATAATGTCACTTGTATAACCCAGGGTCCCATCTGATCAATGTGAAATCATATCCTTGATCTATGACTGCTTTTGCTCATTGAATGGCTTCTGCTTTTTTTTTTTTTTTTTTTTTTTTCCTTTTTTAAAATCTAATTTCTGTTTCATCTTCTTCTTTCAGGAATCCTTTTCACGATGCTGGTATTTGGACCAGCCTGTGGATTTATCCTGGGCTCTTTCTGTACCAAAATGTATGTGGATGCCGTCTTCATTGACACAAGTAAGGAATATATCCCAACTTCTTTTCACCACCCCTGCACATGTCCTCCATTGGAAGGGAGCCCTTTAGCCTTTAGGTTCTAAAACCCTCCTATGGGGGCGTCTGGGTGGCTCAGTGGGTTAAGCCTCTGCCTTCAGCTCAGGTCATGATCTCAGGGTCCTGGGATCGAGTCCCGCATCGGGCTCTCTGCTCAGCAGGGAGCCTGCTTCCTCCTCTCTCTCTGTCTACTTGTGATCTCTGTCCATCACATAGATAAATAAAATCTTAAAAATAAGTAAGTAAGTAAGTAAATGAAACCCTCTTCTGAAGGGATGGCCTCAGTGTGTGGACCTCGAGCTGCTGGCTCACCAGAGATCAAAGAAGAGAACATGAGTGTTGGCTCTGATGGCTTGGGGTCCAGTGGTGTTCCTCCAGTGTCCACCCAGAGGCAGAGTAATGCCTGTAGTTGATTTTACTCCTCCAGTCTGGATCTTCCTCCTCTGTGAATCATAATAATTCTGTCTGCTTCATGGGGCTACTCTAAGAATTACATGAGAGGACAGATGTGGAATGCCTGGCATTTTCCCATTGAATGTTAGCCCAATAACCTAGATGAGAACCCCACTTTCTAAGTGTGTTCTGGAAATGCAGGTGTACAGATGGGGTCGATGAGACAGAGTATTTGAAACCCGCTTCTACAAGTCAGTGTTGGGGGTGACCTCTATGAAGAAACATACCGTACCTCAAAACCGCTTCAAGCGACACTTCTTGGTTCCTAGCAGGGGAGCAAGTGTACTTCTCAGACGGCTCTGGGCGCCCCCAAACCCTAGGCAGGCACACTTTGATGCGGCAGTGGGCTAGTTAACACAGGCTAGGTTACACACACGGCTCCCCAATCTGAAGTGATTTTTCACAAGCAAAATTTACTTCTTGGGCACGCTACGTAGGCAGCGCGGGCTGGTAGTGGTGGGGAGGGTGAGGCTTGGGTCCTCGCGGTCACTGCAGGACGCGGCTCATGGAAGCTTTGTCTGACCCCATCCTGTGCCGTTGCCCAGACAGGAAACCAGGCTGTGGTGAGTTACGTGCTGTCTCTCAAAGCTTCTCCCCCGCTTCAGCGGCCAAAGCACAAGTCACTTGGTCTCTTAGTCTCTTGCTCTACAACAAGTTACCCCAGACTTAGGACTGAAAACAACACTGGGGTGTCGCTTACTATATCACAGGTTATTTGTGTGGGTGTGGAGTCCAGGAGCTGCTTGGCTGGGTGGTTCTGACTCGGGGGTCCCTCATGAGGTTGTAGTCAGGGTGTGGACGTGTGTCTCCTCTCATTTCAACAGCTGCAGGACATTCGACTTCTAAGTTCACTCCCCAGGCTGTCAGCAGGCCTTGGAGGATCACTTTCTATCTCCCATCCCTGGGCCTCGCAACCGGGCTCCCTCACCAGGGCTCCCCCAGAGTGAACAACCAGGAGAGGGTGAGAGAGGGCGCCCGAGATGAGAGCCATGATCTGTTTATAACCTGGGCTCAGAAGTGACATGTCGCTGCTTCTGCTGCATCCTGGGGTCACAATGTCGCTGCTTCTGCCGCATCCTGGGGTCAAAATGTCGCTGCTTCTGCCGCATCCTGGGGTCACAAGCAAGCCACATGTTCCGTTCTCCACTCAGGGCGTGGGCTCCCCGGAGGCCATCTGAGACACTCCCTCCCGTATGTGTGCCCAAGTCACCTGTGAGCCCCCCAGCATGCTGGTTCTGTGCCATTCCTCGAGCAGAGAAGCCGTGTTTCCTCTCTCTCTGGGAACGGAGCGCGGGAAGCCGTCCCAGCTTCTCCGCCTCATACCGATCTTTTCTCAGGATCAATAAGAGCTCAAGCCCTGGCTTCTCAATCCGTCATCTCCTGACAGTGCTAAATTTACTAATTCACCCCAAAGAAGTAATGTGGTTTTAAATCCAATCAAGTCACTCCGTGATTCACTCCATTAATCCCACTGATAGATTTACTTGTAGCTAATGATGTTACAAATTTGCGGGGGCAGGGGTAAGAAAAGAAATGCAGCTTTGTTTTCTTATTCTTTTAAAGTGCTGGCTCTGGTCAAGAGGGGTTTGGAGGCTGCCATTATGCAGCAATTGGTTGATCCTTCAAACCCTACTCCTAGCGAGGGGGACGAGGGGTGGCCCGCTCAGAGAAATACCACGCGGTAGGAGTCAGCTGCCATCTTGCTTGTGTGGACAAAAAAAAAAAAAAAAAGGCCAGCTTCTGCCACTGTGCCACTGTGCCAAAGGCAGCACAAGACAGGAATCGTAAAAGCAGGTGAGGGACAGGGCTGCACCCCCATGCAAAGGGGAGGGCTGCCTGGAAGAAGAGGCCAGGTGGTCAGGCAGTGCCCTCAGCATATCAGCAGTGGCCCCCTTGGATCAAGCCTGTGGGTTACCAGCATCTCTGAGCCAGGAACCTCAGATCATTCTCTTCTAAGCCTCTTATTGTACAGACAAGGAAACAGGCTTAGAGAGGGACACTGGGATGTACCCAGTCCGAGGGGCATATCTGTATAAAACCCAGGTCTCCTGAGCAAGGGTGCGGGCATTTCCACTTCCCAGTTCCCTCCACCGTGCTCCCTCCTGGGAATGAATAAGCATCCTTTCTCTGTGCCTGCGGTGACCAAGGGGTCGACAGGGGGCTGCAGGGGCTCAGCCGGTTCAGTCGTGGTCCCCTTCGGTGGGCGGTTCCTTTGCACTGGGCTTTCCCCTCAGGCTGGAGTCCTGCCCATGGTCCCGTCTGGTCTGCATCTTTGCACACCCGTCGGGGCCCCGAGTGAAGCAACGCTGTCCGGGGTTCCAGGCTCGCCGGCAGTTGGAAGCAGAAGGCAGAGGGGCGCATTCCTGGTCCAGCTGGGTATCTTGCTGGTGCCTACCCCCCGCCCCAGGCCCCCCAGCACACAGCCACAGTCCCATCCGCTGTGTCTCTAGGAAAGGATGCCCTGGGAGTCTCGGGCTTTTGTTAGCTTCCTTGCTGAAGGCCCGGGAGGGCTGGCGCTGCTCTTGACCAGTAGAGGGCGGAAGAATATAATTTATTCGATCACAGAGCAAGACACAGGATCTATAGTTGCCAGCAACTTTGATGGTTTCTCCTCTTGGGACTCAAACTTGCTCTGGAATGGATTCGGGCCATATCTGGAAAGGGAGTTCTCAGTTATTGAGGGGTGACCCTCCCTCCTGTGTGTTTTCTCCACCGGTGAAGACAGAGCCCCCCCTTTAGGGCTGCTTGGACCCATCAGGGTGTGTCCTGGTGCATGAATAGACAGGACCAGGCTCACCGCGGGCAGCCGCGTAGGGCACTGGGGAGAGTGTGATCTGGAACCTGAGGGGAGGCAGGTGAGGCAGACAGAGCTCTTGTCATGGGGCAGGTGGAGGAGGGGATGTGAGGACACAGGGTTGAAGGGGGGACACCAGTGGGGGAGGCTGGTTGCCGTCTTGTGGGGGGCAGGAGGGCGCTTGTAGGAACAGGCCTGCTGTGGGGTGGGCAGACCCCGCAGGCAGCCCCCCGGGGGGACTCTGCTGGCCATGTTTAGACGCTGGCATTCTGCCGCTGCTGCTGTAATTCTGTGTTTGATCCCTGTGTGGCTCCCGTGGTCCCTCTTCTTAAGGAAAGGTGCCCTTTGTAACAGCCTGGGGAAGGAGTGATGGTACAGCCAGAAGTGCTTTTGGAGGAAGCCTTTGTAAGACTGAGACCCGTTGAGAACAGAACCTAGAAGAAAGGAGGACGTGGTAGCAGGGGTGTGCCCCAAAGCCCTGAGTCGGCAGACCCGAACAGTGGGCTTATCAGAAGGAAGTTGATACCGGCAGCCGCGAACTGACCGCTTACTAAGGCTGTGTGTAGACCGTCTCATCTGAACTTAAGGACGTTCTCCTCAGGGCGTGGGTCCTGCTCGTCGCCTACCTGCCAGCTGAGCCGTTCTCACGCAGCGACTTTGAGTTCCGAGTTCCGGTGCTGGATGCAGACCTCTCTCGGAATCTTAGCTCTCCCGCTTCCAAGCGGTGTGACCCCAGGGACGTGAGTTAATCATGCCAAATGCATAGCATGGCACCTGGTGTGTTGTAAGCACACGGTCAGCGACAGGTTAATTCATTTCCGCAGCCAGTAGGATTCAAAGCCCAGGCCTCTGCCTGACTCCAAATCTGACAGCTTGTGTCCCTGGAATTTCTCCAGGACTTTTGCCAGAAGGCTGCCCCCTTCCGTGGGCAAGGGCCTTGCTGAGATGACCTAACCTCGTCCGCCCATCCGTACAGACTCATCCTCAGGCGGGCACCAGCTGGCCCCACTACGGCTTCGTGGTGTTCGTCCCTGGAATCAGATGTGTCCGTATGTTTGCCTCCTGAAAATGGTCGACCCCCCGAGAGCTTCCTGCTCTGCCGTTCTAAGGCTGGCTGCGGGCTTTGTCAGATTCATTCGTGTTAGACTCAATCAGCTCAACGGCCGGGATCCTGAACTTTCCACACTGCCCTCTACCCTCAGCCCCTCCCTGTCCCCAGTTTCTAATTTGGTCTGTAACTTAAGGATACTCTTGGAATGCTTGAGTCCCATAGCAAAAGTTTCACGAAATAGATTAGACAAATGGGTAAATGGACTAAAAAGAAAAAAACAAAAAACCTGTCCAGAAAGCCCAGGGCACCACGTACGTATTAGTGTGGCCGGGAGGGACAAGGAAATGTCCCCCATGTGCTTTGAACGGCTCCTTCTCACAGTCCTAGGTATCTTCATGGGTGAGTAGGTTGTTTGGTTAGTTTTAAAGTGGTTTGACTTTGTTCCCAGCAATTTTTCTTACCAACCTGTGACGACAGCAGTCCTCAGACATGGGAGATAAATCTCAACCTCTTGTGTTTACGTGACTTTAAATAGAGGAAGCAACACTGCCAAAAGCTTCCCCAACAAAACCACAAAAACCCTCCCCATGTTGGATTCTGAGACATGGCAGGGTTAGAAAATGGATCTTGTAAAACAGAAATCCTTCAAGCCTGTAGACAGCGTGGCAAAGGCAGGCCCGGACTGTGCCCGTCTCATGGCGGCCAGACATCTCCATCACGGTGTTCCTTTGCCTCACTGCCTCCGTGCCTGGAATGACTGAGGGGCCGATGAGGGCCTGGGTGGAGCTTAGCCAGCCCATCAGAGTCCCATGGCTGAGGGGTCCCATGCCTCTGCGAGTGTGGCTCCCTCAGCCTGGGATCCTGTTCTCCTCCCTGCTCTTCTCAGTGTGTTTCTGTCCTTCATGGGGGCAATTTGATTGACAGGTACATTTTGTAAATGAGACACCCAGGTACTTCTCAGTTTTGTTCTGGGCATCTTACTGACCACAGTCTTCACGAAAAAGCTGTAACTGCACTAATTTTTTAAGATCAAGATACTACCTAAAGCCACATTGGAAGAAAAGTAAAGAGGTTTTCACCCTGTTTCCCACCTATATGTCAGCACTTTCACAATTCCAAGCCTGGCCAGGATTGCTGTTCTTAAAGATCATGACTTACTTCCCAAGCCTTCGGCAGTAGTCAGGGTAGGCTGGGTTCTGCTGCGGTAACAAACACCGCCAAAATCTTAGTTGCTGAGAATAATACTGGAGGTTTGTTTTGTACACAGCTCGGGTCAGCAGTGACCTTTTGTTCGTCGTAACCTCTCAGGGACCATCCTGGGAAGATCTCCCATGCTTCTGTGATCAGGCAGGGCAAAAGAGCATGGCAAGTCAGGCACTAGCTCATACAGGGCTCTGCACAGAAGAGCCCCCAAACAGTTCAGTGGCCAAACTCTGGCGTGTGGCTACACCTGAGTTCACAGTGAGGGAAGGGTAATCCTTGTTCTCCGTAGAGGAGACCCGAATGAAGACATCAGTAATGTCTACTGCACCATTCTTTGCTGCCCGACATAGGGCACTCTCCCTTAGTCAGCAGTGCTAGAACATTCTGGCTGACCCAGGACAACGGCCAGGCAGGCGGGGAGGGATTTTCCCCATCGGTTCTGTCGAGGTGTCTCAGAAAAGACTCTTCTCAGCCTGGGTTTAAGCATTAGCCGTCTTCCTGTGAAGTATCGAAATCAGGACTAAGACCCCACCCCTTAAGCCAGCCCTGACCCGAGGGGCAGCATGCTCTGAAGCTGAGTGTTTTCTCCTCAGAACAGAACATTATTTCTCTCCCTGCCATGGTGCTCTGGATGGTTGCACTGGAGAGCGGGATTTAAAAAAATCCATACTTCCTAAAATGGTTAACTGTGATTTTCCTAGATCTACAGAATCCCAGCCCTCACCCCCGCCTGTCCCTACCACACCTTGCCACAGACCCCTCTCTTTGGTCTGACACAGGTCATGTGCTCTTGCCTGTCTTACAAATTACGAGCAAACGTTGGCTTTCCACGCGTCGGCACGTACCTAGGGGAGCGAGTTGACATGTTCACATAAACACACCCCCCATCCCCCTCCACTGCAGCCCTTCTCCCTGGGATGTTTCCTCACAACCAGAAGAGAGTCACTAACTTTGTAACTAAAATACGACTCTCTACATGCTTCTAATTTTGTCCCCCCAAAATGAGTGCCAGGTTTTCTCTCTCTCTACTGGCTCACATCTGCGAGCTCTCAATTCCCCCTTTATGGACCCCATCCACAATGGAGGGAGACCGCCCAGACGCGACCGGGGGCCCACCCCCCCCCCCCCCCCCCCCCCCCCGTTTATGTCTTTTGTTTTCATTCATTGCTTAGCAGCAGGTGAAGAAACACGGGCAGTGACTGGAGACAACATTCCTGCTCAGCGACCCAGGCCATCTGACTTCCCTTTCTCTTCTCCTGTTTGCATAAAGATGCTTTCAAGATCGCCTTGGGTTTCCCCATGCTTTTTCCAAGCCTTCCCATACTCAAAACAAAACAAAACAAAACAAAAAATCCTATATCTTGAAAGTCCCCATTCATGTAAATACAGACTACGAGTAACTACAAGAGCTACATATACAGAAAACCTACGTGTCAAGTGATTCTTGCTCGTTACCTTGCTTGTTATTCATCCTTGCACGCAGGCTCTGTGAATGTCACCTTTATTTTGGAAGTGATCAAAGTAAGGCTCAGAGAGAGTAACTAGCTTGCCCAGCATCACTTGCTAGTAAGGAACAGAGCCGGGATTCAACCTTCTGCCTGCCAAAGCTTATGCTCCTTTTTCTCTGACATGCAGCTAAGTGGAAGCATCTGGTTCATTTTAGTGCCCTAGATTTCGCTGGGGGGATGCCGACCCCTCCAGGAAAGAGACCACTGATGTTCCAGAGACCAATGGCAAAGTTGGTGCTCCTAGGCCCATTGCACAAAGGATGGGAATTAATCATCCATGCAGGGAGCCCAAACCAAAGCCTAGAGGGTCCGGAAGGGCAGTGTAGCAAAGTAATAAGGAGGCTGGCCCTTGGCATCTGAATGCCCATCTTCCAGTGTTAAACTCCGTGAACTTGGGCAAGGTGCCTACACTTTTCTTTCTTTCTTTTTTTTTTTTTTTAAAGATTTTATTTATTTATTAGAAAGCATAAGCAGGGGCACCTGGGTGGCTCAGTTGGTTAAGCAACTGCCTTCAGCTCAGGTCATGATCCTGGAGTCCCGGGATCGAGTCCCGCATTGGGCTCCCAGCTCCACGGGGAGTCTGCTTCTCCTTCTGACCTCCCCTCTCATGCTTTCTCTCACTGCCTCTCTCTCAAATAAATAAATAAAATCTTTTAAAAAAAATTAAAAAAAAAAAAGAAGAAAGAAAGCACAAGCAGGGGGAGCAGCAGAGGCGGAGGGAGAAGCAGGCTCCCTGCTGACCTAAGGAGCCCAATATGGGACTCGATCCCAGGACCTGGCATCATGATCTGAGCCGAAGGCAGATGCTTAATGACTGAACAGCCCAGGCATCTCAGGACCTGCACTTTCTAAGCCTCGATTTTTCTATCTACATAAGATCGGGATAATAAAAGACTCTACCTCGTAGGGTTGTGGGGAGGTTTGATGAGAACAGCTAAGAATATGCTGTACATAAGACCCAGTGCAGAGTAGGGAATGATGGCTGGACTCTTCCTGAGTGTTAGCCGAAGTCCTCAGGGAGAGCATTTACAAATGGTGAAGGGCTGGTCTGGTGTCATGTCTCATCCCAAGCCTGTCCATCCATCTGGTCTAGGCCTGTAGTCCTCCAAGATCTTAGCTCGTATGCCCTGCCCCCATGTCCACGAATGTCCTTCTGTCCTCCAGTCCTCCAGAGGTACGGGATTATCATCAAAGAGACATTTCTGAGCAGCCCATCTGAGAGTGCTCTATGAAAGAGAGTTATAGAGAAAGAAAAAAAAAAAAAAACCCACCAAGGGGTAAGCTATAGTTTATGTCTTCATGACTTCAGCTAGCAAGTCCGAGAAATAATAGCACAAGACGACCAAACCACATGCACACTGCCTTTAAGCATTAAGTTGGTTGCAAAGCTTTCTAATAAAGGACTGCCCCAAACCATAGGCCACAACCAAGATTTGAATTAACCTATCTGCTAGCAGTTTGGAAACCGGACCCTAGCTGTAAATACAGAGCTAAGAGTGTTTAAATGCCCAAGCACGTGCCATTATTCTGAACACCTCGGATCTGGTGTGACTCATTTGGCTTCCCCCTCCCCTCAGACTCCAGAAGGTACTGACACCATCGTCTTGGTCCTGTAGGTCAGTCAGCAAGGCACAGAGTTCAGATGGCTAGGCTGGGGTCCCGCAGGGAGAAGTGGCAGGATTTCCCTCCAGGTACCCTGGCTCTCAACTTCATTCTGTGCCATCCCTTAAGATCCCCGAACCTGATTTGAGGCTGGGAGTGGGGTGTGGCTTGGGATTCCGGGTCGCTGCTTTTGGACGGGTGCACGTGAGAACCCACGGGCAATAGACCCTTGTACTTCGTCCACACACCTAGGCAGCTCTCCGGAGCCCATCAGCTCCAGCCTTAATTCCGAGGGTGTCTGGCTTCTCGCTGCTTTTGTTTAGACTGATAGAAATATAGGGTAGACAAGAAAATTAAGGAGAGAAAGCAATCAGCCTTCAGCTTTGGGAGAAACAGAAGCACTGATGTGGAAGGAAAGGCTGACTTGTGGAGCATCCAGTCCCTCCGCCCCTCCTGCCTCCACACCCCCGAGGCCGTTTCCAGAGCCCCCCCCCCCCCGTCCGTGCACCTGACTGTGACCCTCAGCCGCATCCTGGCCCAACTGCATCCTCTCCTCCTGACTATGCTTTTTCCCATTGCAGGTAACCTGGACATCACTCCAGACGACCCCCGCTGGATCGGAGCCTGGTGGGGTGGCTTTCTGCTCTGCGGTGCCTTACTCTTCTTCTCTTCCCTCTTGATGTTCGGGTTTCCACAGTCTCTGCCCCCGCACTCAGACCCTGCCATGGAGAGCGAGCAGGCCATGCTCCCCGAGAGAGAGTACGAGAGACCCAAGCCCAGCAACGGGGTCCTGAGGCACCCCCTGGAGCCGGACAGCAGCGCCTCCTGCTTCCAGCAGCTGAAAGGTAGAAGCACCTCAGATGCGGGTGGCCAGAGCAATGGAGGGGGGTCGTCGAGGCCGCCGGGTGGGGAGGGGGCACCCAGGACAGGGTGCTGGGAGCTCAAGGTACAGTCACGCTTATTTTGCATGGTTTGCCTTCTCTGGTCCAGTGCTCAGCGTCAGTCCTGAGAAGGAAATGACCTGATGTGTAAAATAAAAGCGGGGTGGCCACCGCTCAGCGAAGGGGCAGCAGACCAGTCTCCCCAGCAGAGACCCCGGTGCTTAACAAAGCACCTGAGGCATAATAAGCAGATAGGTCTGCGGAAAGAAGGTTCTAGATGTCTCATGGAGCCCTTGGGCTCTTTCTGGCCGCCGTGTGCCAGCGCGGTATAGCAGGAAAGGACTTGGGAAGCAGGGCTTCCTTGCCTGACTGGGTCATTCTTCAGAAGCCGCATCTGAAAATACATTTCCTTTGAGTTGCTGTGTCCTCCTGTCCCCTCCGTGCAAGATGTGCACCTCTGGAAGGAAGTATGAACTCCGTCTTAATAACAGAGTCCCCCCGAGAAAGTGGCCAAGCTCTCCCAGTCGTTTTTAAAGGAAGCCAAACACATCTTTTCTAACAAAAATGGAATGATCCAGAATGAGAAGCATCCTCCCGCAAACCCCAGCCCCGGGTTGGTTCCATATTTGGCAAAGGGTCTTCAAGGCAAACAGTGCCGGCACAGCCTTGAGCCGCAGGGTGTCTGTCCCGGTCCCCTCCCCACCAAGACATCTGTGCCGTTCTCCTGAAGTCCCAGGACCCCTCTTGGATCCCCTGGAGAACCTGCTGGCTTTTTGAAGTGGGCAGGAGCAAGGCTTGGGGCACCCCTTCCCCGTGAGGCTGGTGCGGGAGGATGGGGACGGTCACCTCTTGGCAGGATCTGGACGCACCTGCAAATGGTGCCAGGGCGCCAGTGACCAGTTGAGAAACTGGGTGCAAGTCTCTTTACTGAGCTTTTGTGTGACAAGGAGCACCCCTCCTCCACCGGAGAGGCTGGAGAGCCAGAGGGAGGAGCTCAGCACTGTCCCTGTACTCTGGTGCCCGCTCCGCTCTTCTCTCGAGCTGGGGTCATGAACTTCTCCATGCTTCGTTTCCACAAGTGAACAGGTTTCATAGTGTTCCTACATGACGGTGGGGCCATGAGAATTAAAGCACCACCTGCAGAAGACGATCTGCTAATAGCGCCTGTGTGTCAGGGAGGGATCGGAAGAACTTGGGCAAATTCCCAGAAGGGACTAATTGATAATCTAATGTTATGTCGGAACTCATGTTCCGTGATCATTTCTACCAAAGTAGAAATTTGGAACTGTCCACGGAAGGTCTGCAAAATTCTCTAAGTTCCAGAATGCCCGGGTAGGAGAAGGCTACCCACTTTGTGTCTTCGGGGGTTGCCTTGGCTTGGACCCCCCAGGAGTTTGTGCTTAATAGAAGAGCCCCCCACCCCCCACACACACATGCACCCAAACAGCCAGGCAGGGGGCGATGCCTACTGTTCGTCTAATAGCACAGGCGGCCACACAGAGTGTCCCAGCAACCAGATCTGCAGGAGTAAATGGGGCTGGCCCAAGTGGGCGTTGCAGGGGACACCCTGGACCGGAGCAGGGCAGCCTTTCTGGGTCTTTCTTTGTCCCAGGGTGATGACAAGAGCTCCGATTGCAAGAGCTGCACCGGTCATTGCTTATCTTTCATCTCTGGGGATGCGAAGATGAAAAGATACAATGGTGCCATCAAAGCACTCACCCATCCAGTGTGGGGACAGACTAGCAATCCAGCAAAGGCAGCCCAGCGTGGAAAGGACAGCAGGGCCGGCAGCAGAGGAGGTGATGGGCGTACAGCAGACAGGCAGGGTGGGGAGCCCACATCTTGGGGCAGAGGCAGAGGGACATCATGGCTTCAGAATTCAGTTTTCATTAACCCATTTGTTCAGCATGTTCTGAAGACCTCTGGGTTCCAGGGACACAATGGTCACCCGGACGGCTTCTATTGTGGAGTTGTGTTGTAGCTGTGGGGGGTGGGGGGGTGCATACAGTAGGTAGAATTGAAGCAAACAGCAGGGTGTGTGCTGAGCTGACAACGCGCAGATGGGTAGACAAGTCTGAGACTCGCTGTAGCCATAACGACCGTACGCTGTGGCCTGTGGAGGTACGTGGGCTCTCCTTCTACTAATTAATGATTTTTAATTAGAATTAGCCATTCCCGGAGGCAGGAGGTCTATTAATGGACCTAAAGAATGTCCCAGCAGGAAGGGAAGGCAGTGTGTCTAGAAGAATCCCCAGGAGACGGGATCCAGCGACGTGAACTATTATGCTAATAAACACGTTTTACATGCGCCAGCACATGGATTAGGTGGGGGGGAGAATGTGGTGGTTTACATCCGTCATTTTTCCACATGAGACCATGTCTTTGCCATGTGGATGTTTCCACCAAAGCACCATGCGGTGTCACCCGGTGCTCCCAAACTCTTTCTCCAGTTTGAGACCCCCGTGGTCTCCCCATGTATATTTATGGGTACCGACGAGCCAAGCAGTGTTATATATGGAAGGATTAACGTTGCTCTAAAAATATCTATGTTGCAATTTTGAATCTGTTCCATTGAGTTTGCAAATGGGTTTCTTCTTTGGCTATCCGCCCGTGGGCCCTGCCATGCTCTGCAGATAGGGAAGGTCCCTGAGCAGAGCCGGTGTCCTGTGCCCAGAGCAGCTGCTCCGTCCTCCTCCCTGCTGGGACTGAGACTGTCTCCCCCGCTCCTGGGAGAGCACTGGGGCTGTTCCAATCCAGCTCAGCTGCTTCCTAATCTTGCAACCTTGGCCGTGGTGCTTAATTCCCCTTGGCTTTAACATATGGCGTCTGATTGATATTATTAGTTATTCTTGTTTATAGACGAGGAAACCAAGCTCTGGTGACATAGGACTTCAGGCCCATGGCTTGCTTTTCAGGGCGCTCTCCCCAGACATGTGGGCCTTGAAGGTCTCTTTCTAACAAAGTTGGCCATCATGGGGTTTGCAACTCCTATAGGAAGAGAGAGAAAGCCCAGAGTGTTGTTTTGTAACATGTAGAGAAGCTGTTACTTCCTGCACAGCCCACAAGTCCCCTTCTTGTAGTGACTGTCACGTGACTGTTTAACAAAGCAGGCAGCAGGCAAACAAACTCTTGGGTTTGTTATCTTTCCGGGTGGGAGTCTGCAAACCCAAGGCACATTTTTGCATCTTAGCTATACAACCAGATAGCTTTCCCTTTGTGCCCTGGCTCTGCAGCCCTCTTCCCCAGCCTTGTTCTTCAGAGCGTTTTGCTGGTTCGTCTTTCAGGACACCACCCCCCTCCCAGCCCCCTCTCATCCTTCCTTTGCGTCTAGCACCATGTCTCCTCCTCTCTCTGTCGTCACTGTGCTGGGGAGGACAGCACCCACGTGGCCTCCAGAATCTGGATGCTCAGAGTTTGCAGAATAGTTTGTAAAAGTCTAGACCCAGAGGGAGGAAGGAATTGGAGGGACTGTTATAGACAAATGGACAGAATTACCACCACTAGTGTGTTAGTCTGTAGTTTATATAGAGACGTCTCTGCTGTTGCCTACCCTCAGGGGCTGTGATGGTGGGGATCCAGGCTCCTCCAGTGGCCGTACTGTGTGCGCCCTCCTCTCCGTGCTCTGCTTCCTTCAGCGCATCAGGCACTCTCCTTTTTGTTCCCTTGTGGGCCTGGAACACCCTTCCTCTCTGGGTCCACTTCTGGACTAGACCCGGTCCCGCCTTCCAAGAAATCCCTCCCTAGAGCCCCACTGTGCCCCCCATGCCCCCCGTGCCCAGTGTTGGATTAGCTTCATTCCTCTGTCATCTCCACGGTCCCTGCAAAGCACCTGTCACCCCACCACCTGGTGGCTTCTCAGCTTGTCGGCCTCTGGCCAAACCTAGTGGGTTCTCCAGGGACAAAGCTTTCGTGCATCTTTTTGTTCCGGGGCCTGGCACGGTACCTGGCACGTAGGTGGTATTGGCTGAATGAACAAATGAACGAATGAATATTTTCTTGCCGGCTTGCACGCACACACGCATACACAAACACGCACTGGCAGCGAACGTCAGTTTTCCACACACTGTCATATTTAACGCCCCCCCACCCACCCCTACGAGGCTTTGGTCCCATTTTGCAGAGAAGTAAATTGAGGCTTAGAGACTGAAAGGCGAGGTGTTTGAGCCCTGGCAAGGGCCCCAGAGCCTGTCTTCTTCACCACCACATTCTGGTGCGTCTCGGAGCCATAAGTGAACTCTCGGAAAGGAGCAGTGGGGTGGGCAGGTGCTGGCCGACTTCAGCGGAGTGTGCTTCAAGTCGAGCTGCTGGTTGCAACGGCACCGACGTGCCCTAAAGCGGTGCGTCTTCCGGACGAGGCTACGGGCTAAAAGGGAGGGAGGAGCCCACTCCAGGCAAGTGTCAGTCCGTCCTGGCCCTCTGATGGGCCCTCTAGCTGGGATGAGTGTGACGGTTCCAGAGGTTTAAAATCTGCAGGCAGCACCCTGCCTTTGATGGCTGGAAGAGAAGAGCGGTCAACGCTAAGAGCTCTCGTCTCCGTGCACTTCCCGCTGACTGCCACGTGGCCTCTTCCTGTCCCAGAAAAAGATAGCCACACCGGGTGAGAGCAGGGAACAGCTGAGCCAGCAGGGGTCAGTGCTGCGGGGGGGGGGGGTGTTGCCTCAGGCTCAGGGGTTTCAGAACCACCCCAACACGTGCAGAATGGTTTATGAGTTCCCAAGCACATGTGGGGATGTCCCGCTGGGCCACCGCAGCCCAACTGATGAGCTAGTGGTCCTCCTCTCCATGCCAGCCATCCAACACAGAGCTCGGGGTGCGACCTCATGGCCAGGTTGTCACCGTTGCAGAGGATGCTGGGGGCACTGGGGTCCGGGTCTCGCATGCGCCCCACCGGGTGCCCCTCCGGGTGCCCCTCCGGGATCCACTGGACGGTTGATGAACGGACTGAGGAGGAGAAGGGGAATCAG